ACTTATGTTTGTGCTGTAAGTACAATATACATTTTATGGTGTATTAATCTTCATATTTGTAGTTTGGGGCAGTAGAAATGAGACTACATGCTACATGTAAGTGGCCTGGCTCTTATTTTTTTTCCATGCTGGAATACAAATTGAACATCATCTCATGTCAACACCATACCTAAATAATGGTCTACAATGTGGGCATATCATGTTTTATTTAGCCATTCACCTGTTGTGTACATGTAGATTGATTCTAGTTTTCTGGCTGTGAGAGAGACAGTTGAAGTAGTTCACAATGCTATGTCACCTGTGATTTCCAACTTTTAAAGGTTTCTTTGGGCTGGCAGATAGCTTAGTTGGTAAAGGCACTTGCTGTACCAGCCTGATGACTTGGGTTTGATCCTTGGAACCCACACAAAGGTAGAAAGAGAAAAACAACGCCATAAAGTTGTCCTCTGATCTCTACACACGTGCTGCGGTGCGAGCGTGTGCGCACACACACACACACACACACACACACACACACACACACACACACCACACACACACTCACACACACACACACACCACACACACACATACACACAAATATATTCATTTTTAAGATAAATTATATTTGGTGGCCAACATTTCTCACTGGGAAACCCTTCCATCCTACAAAGAAACTTAAATGCCAAGAGAGCTGACCCTGACTGCCTGGTCTCCTGAACTGGCCCTGACTGCCTGGTCTCCTGGAGATGACTCAGGAAGTGGAGGAACCACAGACCCCTGGAACACCAGAGAATGCTCTGGGAATGGTAACCTCGACTTGCTCAAGTCCACCAGCATCAGGGTTTGAACCCTACTACTAGGCTCTTGCCACTTGCAAGAACCGGCCCAACAATCTCCACACCCCAACCCACATGGCACAGGCCAAGATCTGTTGAAAACTTCCATGTGCTGTGATTATGCCAAAGGAGAATAAGGTCCAAATTTCAAAGAAATAGTTGAAGGCATTTTTCAAAATCAAGACTAGATGATACAAAAACTTTATCTCACAGTAAACTACAGCCTCATCAAGAGTGAGCAATGGCTCCAGGGTGGAAAGATGCCTGGGCTTCCCCCTGCAGCCACTAGACTCTTAATCCTCACTCCTCTTACGTAGAGAAAAGCAGGGGAGGGGGATATTTGAAGAACATTAGGCGGGAAAGCACTCGGAAGGAAGCAGAGCCGAGCGGCACCGGAGTCACACCACCTAATGGCCGCCACTGCCATAGGAAGCACAAGTTTTACGGTTAACAGCTGTGGCAGTTTCTTCCGTAATAATAGTTGAAACTGAGGAAGGCGATAAAGAGAAAAACAAGAGAGCATGCTTAAGTTTCAAGCTTGTTTGTTCTTTCACTTTTCTCTCTTTTGCCGGGGAGAGGACGGGAGTTAAGACCAGGTCTTGCTCAGTTGCCTATGCTGGCCTGGAACTCATAGTCATCTTCTACATGCTGGGACTTCAGGCATGTGTCTCTGTGCTGCATTGAATCTAGCAATTGTTGTTATCTTTACAGGTTCTCACGTAGCCCAGGCTGACCTCAAGCTCCTGGGTAGCCAAGGATGTCCTTGGGATTTTGATCTTCCTGCTTCCACCTCCGGCTGGGATTGAAACTGGCATGAGGCACCACACCCAATTTCTAGTTCTTAATAATATATTTCACCCTATTCCTTAAGCAATGTCAGGCTAGAATCATTAAAATGTCAAGTCACTCCACCAATGCGAATGACTTGCAATGAGTCCTTCACAAGCACTTACAGTCAGGAAGTGACACAGACTTCATTTCCTCTAGCTTTGAGCTCTGTGTGAGTCAGCTTCAAGTCATCTCAGAATCTCGAGCTTAAAGCAGCCAATGCTACCCCAGGTCTAGGCTGAAGACAGTGTGTGAGGGTGAGGATGTGGGGTGAGAGGGTCATCAAACTTCATTAATCCTTGGCCACGACTCCAACATTTCAATTCACAAAAGCCACGAGTGACATTTCTCGTTCTCTCTAAAACACACGAAGCTCACTTCTCGTTCTCTCTGCCACCACTGTACTCTGTCTACACAACACACAAGCACACAGGACACATGAACAGTTCGGCCATGCATGCACTCTGCAGGCAGTTGATGTAAAAGTAAATGCTGCGTCCATAGATATGACAGAGGGACAGGTTGATGTGTGGCTTGCTGTCTGAGCCAATGCGGTCATTTGCTGGCATCTGTTCCTTAATTTCCTCCTTCAACAAGAACTCAGCAACACCATCATATCCAACTGTTACTGTCCAGTGTGACAGAGAACTAGACCTTGCCCCAGGGTTGGCTAATGACCTTTCTCCTACGTGGTCCTTCACACAGACTGAGAACCAAAAACCTGCTCTTTTCCACACATGTTTTTTTGTTTAGTTTAAATATTAAAATTAAGAGTGTATATGTGTTTGTGTATGTGTACAATGTGTGTGTGCTTATGTGTTTTGTGTGTGTTTATGTATGTGTGTGATGTGTTTTTGTGCATGTTTATGTGTGGGCGTGTGATGTGTGTTTGTGTGTGTATATGTGTGTGATGCATATGTTTATGTGTATGATGTGTGTTTGTATTTTTTTATTTATTTAACTTTATTTTATGTGCATTGGTGTGAAGGTGTCAGATCCCCTAGAACTGGAGTTAGATAGTTGTGAACTGCCATGTGGGTGCTGGGAATTAAACCAGGGTCCTCTGGAAGAACAGCCAGTGCTCTTAACCCCTGAGCCATCTCTCCAGCCCATGTGTATGTTTGTGTACATGTGTTGATGTGTATATGTGATGTATGTTGATGTGTATGTGTGTGTGTGTGTGCGCGCGCGCCATGACATTTGTGTGGAGGTCGGAAGACAGCCTGCAGAAGTCAGTATTTCTCTTCCACTGTGTAGGGTGCAGGGATCAAACCTGGGTCATGAGGCTTGGCGATGAGGCAAGAGCACTATTGAGCCCTCATGCCAGCCCTCCACACACATCTTAAAAATCCACAATTCTTTAAGAATGGATGACTTTGGGGCTGAGGACAAGGCTTAGTCTCAATAAAGTGTCTGCCACTCAATAATGAGGATCTGAATTTAGATTCCCATACCTATGTGAAAGCCAGGCACAGTAGCACATGTCTATACCCTCAGTAGCACACGTCTATACCCTCAGTAGCACACGTCTATACCCTCAGTAGCACGTGTCTATACCCTCAGCAGCACATGTCTATAACCCCAGTGTTCCAGGGCTGGAGACTGGCAGACCACTAGAACTCACCGACCAGCCAGTCTATCTTAACTGCAATTAACATGAGAGAAGTGCCTCAAAAAGATAAGGTGGAACGCAGTTGAGGAAGACACTGACCACCAACATGTGACCTCCATGCACATGATCACACATATGCACACACCCACACAGACATGCTCACACACGCACACACACATTCACGACTTGGAAGAAGTGTGGTTCAAATCATGCTCTCTAGGTATTTCCTCATGATGAAATCCTTGATTGTTTATATGGGTTCCTTGTGATTATACGCTGTGATGGTGAATTGTTCTGTCACATCTAAGCGTTCCGGAGATAAGCATCACTAAGGATCACTCCCCAGTTAGATTAGCATCTTATGAGAAATTAACTGTCTATGAAGTAAGCTGAAGGCCCTGTGATACAGCAGAGGATAAAGGCAGGCAAAGCCAGGGCTTCAGCGCGCTGTGATTTCCGGAGCGTCGGTGCCTTCCTCTGGGGGTAGGACATTTAAGTGGCTTCATATGAAAATCACTGAGGCAGGGCCAGTCAGCCAGTCGTGTCTCACTCCTTACTGTTGTTGCTGATGGTACTGATTGTGGCACGAATCCTAATTGGTTTTAATATTAAAAACCTGGAGCTAGATATGGGGGTAAATGCCAAAAGATCTGCAAAGGAGCCAGCCACTAGAGAGACTTCTTACCTCTACCGAATCGAATCCTCAGCCTGAAAGGACAGATCTCTTCTCTCCACCCTGCCTCATCACTTCCTGTTTCCTCCTCCCAACCGCTGGGATTAAAGGTAGGTGCCACCACTGCCTGGCCTCTAGTGGCCAGCTCTGCACTCTGATCTCCAAGCAAGCTTTATTTGTGAGAGCACAAACAAAATCTCACCACAATTGATCTTGGACGATGCAGCTTTACTTAGAGTTTTCTCAGATCGCAAGGCAAAGTTCGACAGCCACGGAGCTGGGCAGGGCCACTACAGGCACCCCCTTGATGCAGAACGCTGGACACTAAAGCTTGCTACCCTGAGACTAACCATGCAGCAGGGTTCTCTGCCTGTCTGCTACTCCCCAAACTTACCGTGAGCAGAAACCACCCTGAGAGCCCTTGAATCCATCGGCTTGGGTCCACTCAAAAGTCAGAAACCGCCGGGCGGTGGTGGCGCACGCCTTTAATCCCAGCACTCAGGAGGCAGAGGCAGGCGGATCTCTGTGAGTTCGAGGCCAGCCTGGTCTACAGCGCGAGATCCAGGAAAGGCGCAAAGCTACACAGAGAAACCCTGTCTCGAAAAACCAAAAAAAAAAAAAAAAAAAAGTCAGAAACCATACCAGCAGTTTGAACAGAGAGATATTGGTGGAATAGGATCAAATACACAAGACTAACAAGAGCTCTAAAGAATACAAAAGGAATAGGTGCCAGGAGCAGCTGCTGCCTCTAGCAATTGTTCGGAGCGCCCATCCACACCCCAGCTGAGATTCAGACCCCACTGGGAAGGATGTGACCGTGGCCCAGGGTAACGGGAAGTCCTCTTTCGAGCACACACGTGTAGGCTGGCAAGCAGGAGAGGCTGCCTGCCTGACAGAGTGTCTTGAGACCCCCCCAGGCAGCGGCCTTATTGGAGGTGAGTATGGGGTGTTCAAATGTCACAGGGAGCCAAAGGGAACAGCATCAAAGGGACAATGAGCCCAGTGGCCTTTTCTCATGCAGTGGCCTTCCAATGCCCTCTACTGACGAAGCTCTGCATCTGCCCCACAGCCCAGCAATGCTCAGAGTTCACAGAGTGGAGCCCTGAGCTGAAGGGCAGAAGAGCTGGATTGCTGGTTCAGGAACAAGTGGAGGAGAGATCAGACGGAGGCGGCAGTGCTGTGGCACCAGCACCGGATTTAAGGAATTTCAACTTCCGGATCCTAACAGGCAGCTGCAGAGGGAATCAGCCCCCTCTAAGTCCTGACATTTCACATTTAAGATGTAATGAAGAGATCATGGAGACCCCTCTTCTCCCTGTTAAAACACCTTAAAAACCTGTCTTGTCACGGGGCATAAAATGTCCTCATTAAGGCTCATTGTTTTCTGTCCTGGAAGCTCCTTATCAGAATGAGGTCTTTCTGGGAGGTGTCCTATCAGAAACCTTTAGTGGTCAAACTGTCCTAGAGGTGGATGGCAGTGAGGAATAAAAGAGCTTGGCGACCAGCAGAGAGGACCACAGATATTTTCTGTCTTTCTGTCTGTCTCTGTTTCTGACTCTGTGTGTGTGTGTGTGTGTGTGTGTGTGTGTGTGTGTGTGTGTCTTTCTGTGCCTCTGTCTCCCTCTCCCAGTCTCTCTCTCTCCCAGTCTCTATCTATCTATCTATCTAACTATCTATCTATCTATCTATCTATCTATCTATCTATCTATCTATCTATCTCTGTCTCTCTCCTATCTCTTGGCCTCTAAGATTTCTTCCATCACAGGAAGGAAACGGAATCAATGAAAATCAAAGTGCGTCAAAACTCTAGCGTCAGGATCCTGGCCACAGAAGGGGGCACCCTTTTCCCCTGGGGCCTCGTTTCCTGTCACTGTCACTGTGAATGTTGTTCGTGGTTGGGAAGAAGCTGATGAGGATGGACAGTGGCTCCGTGTCCTTTTAGCCAACCCCAAGGTTTCTCTGTAAACTGTCTATTTTTATCCCTGCAGTTTTAATACTATTTCTGGATTCTGAACAACGGCAATATTAACTAACATTCCTTGAGAGCTTACTATGCATAAGCATTGTGCTGAGAATCTAGTCTTCACACAAACCCCACAGGGCAAAGAAATAGGTCCTCAGTTTTACAGATAAGGAAATGGAGGCTTTACAAAGTCCAGAAGCTGGTAACAGTGTGGCCAGTTTCAAACAGAGGCAACTCAACTGAACTGAACACTTACAGCCCAGGGCCAGGCGAGTGCCTCTAACAAGACACCAGTTCGTGTCATATTAATCGGTATTGTGGACAGGACACAGGAAGTTGGGTGACCTGTCATCCCAGTTACTTAAGCTTGTAGTGTTCAGATCACCAAGACATCAATCAGCCTGTAAACCCAAAGAATACTTTGGGATGCAGGATGATCAAAAATGGGGAGTATGAGATGAACATGTGTTCATCTGTTGTTGTTGTATATTTTTTCTGTCATTCTGATCCCTCCAAAGTCACAGCTGGTGAAACCAAATGGTCATTTTACCACAATCCGACCAACGTCAAGGATCACCAAGCACCATTTGTTCTCTAAGGCAAAGCCGCACATCTAATTACAACTCACTGTTAGTAAATTTGTAATAGACAAAAAGGAACTGACTGCTGTGGCTTCTCCTCCCCAGCAAAGCAAAACCATTCAGATGGCAGATTGCATGTCTAGTCTTTCTTTCTTGTTTCCATAAAGTTAGCAATCCATCGTAGACAGGAAAACCAGGGCAAACCTCAGATGAACAGATTGTACCATCAGCTCCGGCCACATTGTCTCTAATGGGGAAAATTAGCAGCTGAATGCTAACACCTGTCACCGTGAGCGGACCCTGGCACACACACCAGGTAGGAAGGCTGTGCAGTTCCTTGCAGCTATCTGGGCTCAGGTCACCAGAGACAACACACATGCCAAAGCCGCCAACGTGCAGACAGACTCCATTTAAAATCAGCTGGCTGTGGCAAATACCAGAGGAGATCAAACAGCATTCTTTAGGGAGAGTGGGCATTAACAGTGGGCTCTGAAGACGACTTTCTAAGGAATGTGGCACTCTAGCACTATGTAGACTCAGAGAGAGATGCCAATCTAGCAGAACCCACTAAGCACTTCCTTTTCAGAGGCAAAAGACACCAGGGACACACCCAGTGACTGGTGTTGTAACCTCACTGAGCCAGATTATGGCCTATTGTTCTCACAGGCCTCGAGGTCAATTGCAATCATCCCAGCTAAATGGATCATGCCACAAGTCCTTGTGCTTTGTAAAGGAGGTCCAAGCGAGGAAAGCCACATCTATTTTTCTGACGCTATAAATATGTCTTCCCTTTACAAGGGCTTCAGCCATTTTTCTACCTGGTTGCCTAGCAACGCTTTCACGGGACAGACATATTGGAGAGGGAAGCTGGAGACATACAGATGAATTTGTATTATTTCACAGATTCCTTTTTAAAAATCGATCTGTTGTGTTCTCCTGTGGCAGGGGTAAGGTAGCATGGAGGGTCAGTGCTAAACTATCATAGTCCGGTTACTCTCCTAACAGGGACACAGGAGAGCAAATTTCACAACCGTATTCAGCAAACAGAGGAAGGCAACCTGTTTATTAACAAAAATGCAAAACAGTGCCTCGGGTCCTCACAAAGACATTGAGTACATATAGTGCTCACTTATAGCCCTCTGCTGACAAGGTCTCGGGCAGCCCTGAGGGTAGCCTGCACTTTCACTGAGTCCTAGTTGAGGGACACGTGGACTGTGCTTCGTTCTTGTCCATCTGGTGGCCTTCCTTTTGCTAAATTATATTGCTCTGCAAGAAGTACTCAGTTCATTCTGGTGTTCATGTTCATTTGTGATGCTTAGAGCTAAGTATTCCTACATAATTCTTTAAATTTCCCCCATTCACATTTGTGGTTTGTCCTCTTTTTTCACTTGGAAATTTAAACTTACTTTTTTTTTTCTTAAAGTGGTTGGTAATTCATCCATTTTTAATATAAAAACTCATGATCTATACCTTGGCTCTTCTGTTTTTATAATATTCTGCTTCATTAATTTTCATTTCTGTCTTAAGTCCTCCCCTTTTGAAAATTCTAATTGCTCAGGTTAATTAACTGTCTTTCTTTAACATTAATAAAAGTTTTGAGGCTATGAATTTGCCTCTAATCTCTGCTTTAACTATTTTTTGTTATGCAGATCTTAATAATTACCTTTTACTATCTATTTGATTTCCATTGAGACTTTCTTTTCAGCTTGGGCTGTTAAAGACAGTGCAAATATTTTGTACCCAAGTGGTGAGACCTTGTTTTTCTGTTATTTGTTTTTAGTGTTTTTTTTTTTTTTTTTTTGGTTTTTCGAGACAGGGTTTCTGTGTGTAGCTTTGCGCCTTTTCCTGGAACTCACTTGGTAGCCCAGGCTGGCCTTGAACTCACAGAGATCCGCCTGGCTCTGCCTCCCGAGTGCTGGGATTAAAGGCGTGCGCCACCACCGCCCGACTGTTTTTAGTTTTATTGCATTGTAGTCAGAGAGTATTGCCTATATTAGCAATATGTTTGAAATTCGAATGTAGTTTTACACCTTCTGTAGTTTTATAGTGTGTGTAGTATGTGTTGCATGCGGTGTGTGGGGTGCATATGATGTGTGTATATGTGGGGAAGGGGTGGTGTGTGTGTGTGTGTGTGTGTGTGTGTGTGTGTGTGTGTGTGTGTGTGTACCAAGCACAATTTTGCTTTATAAAGTGCAGTATTTTAAAGAAATTAATAGAAAAAAATATTTAAGTGATCTTTTATTCTAGCCCACATATCTTCCATTTTCTGTGCCCTTGACCCTCACTGTGGATTTCAGTGGCCATTTGTCATCATTTCCCTTTGGCCTGAAGGATAATCTTCAGCATTTCTTGCAAGGCAGATCAAGTAACAAAATTTTTCAGGCCTTGCTTATTTGAGACTGAGATTATCTTTCTCTTACTCATTGATTAAAGGGTAGCTTTGCTAGGTATAAAATTCTTGGTGGTCAAATACTTTCAACACTTTGATCATATCATCATACTGCCTTCTGACTTTGAATTTTCATAAGAAAACTTACCCATTAATTATATTGGTGTTCCCCTGTATGTGACCAAGTGTTTTCTCTTGTCAATGTCAAGATATCCTCTAGTTTTGTATTAATATGGTGGTTTGAATAAGAATATCTGTAAGGATTCTGTCCTTAATTACATCATCAGCCTGCGATGGTGTCCCAACCTAGAAAGTGGGTGGGCCCTCTGTGCGTCCCTCTCTTTCCTTTCTGCTCCTTCCTTCTGTCTGTCTTCTCTTCCTCTCTCTCCCCGCTTCCCTTCTCTCTCTCTCTCTCTCTCTCTCTCTCTCTCTCTCTCTCTCTCTCTCCCTCTCTCCCTCCCTCCCTTTCTCTCCCCCCTCAATAAAGCTCTAAAAAGGTAACCATGGCTTGTGACTCTCTTCCAGCACTCTCCTCCATCATGGCCACCACAACGCCGCCATTTAACCAACATTGGTGCTGTGACTCGGATACACCACCAAACACCAAGGACCTGCTGTGACCACTGCCACCTGCTGCCTCCTCCCCCATCCAGCAAGACCGCGTGAGACCATGAGTGCACGCGTATCCCTTGCCACCTCCGCTGGACGCCCACACAGCTACCACTACTGATACCGCCATGATTCTTCACAGTGAGTCTGCAGTTCTCGAGGCTGTAGTCTGAGCTATATTCTTTGCAACGGATACCCCGGAGGTTGTCCTTGGGCTGTACTGGCAACGGCAGTCACATTTTTGCTCCTGACGAGGAAGTAAATGGTGTCTAGGGTTCAACAGTGGACCAACTGCAGTATAGTCACAGCCCTCACGATCCCTTGATGAAGAGGACTTGTGACTTGAGCTGATTTGTAGATCTCTCTCCACTCTCAGGGACACCCGAGATTGTAGTCTGATCCCAGTTTGTTATTTTAATTTTTTATTTTTCTCTCGGCTACAGCCATGAGACAAAGGGGCAGATACGATACATTTACCACCTACATTGGCGGACATGGGCGGGCACCGGTAAATCTGGCCGCATAACAGCGTCGCGGGAACTTCTGCCAGCGAACAGGCAAATAAGAGTTACTTTATCTCCAAGCTTTCTGCTAAAGCTCTAAACCTTTCTCCCTTCCCACTTCTGCGTCTGCCATGTGCAACCTTTTCTGTCTGACTTCCACCGGCAGTGGGCGGGCTCAAATGGGCGGGCTTGGGTGGTTTCTACGACTTGCCCTAACTCACCTTAACTCCACCCACTCATTCTCACGTGCATACAGACAGGGCCTTGATCTTTGCCTTGTCCCTAATTCCAAAAAAAATAAGTTCTCATGCAGCACAAGCTTTTCTCTTCCCAGTTCCCTGTTCTAACTCACTGTTCAGCCAATGATACAGGACCACCACAGGACCACCACAGAACCGGAGTCCAGAAATCATCAACATCTTGTCAAACAGAAAGTTCCCAGCCACAGCCAAGAGGGATACATGTCTCCAGAGCAAACGGATGACAGACAGCATTCCACAACACCTGTCTACCTCAGAAGACTCCCCCAAGAGCCAACCAAGTCCAGTTGTCAGCTGGAAGCAGTTTTTGAGAGGAACGATGACGCCCCTATTCCCATCTACCTGCTTTTTTATAATAAGTGAAAGTCTGGGATGTAAGGATTCTATCCTTAATTACATCATCAGCCTGTGACAGCGTCCCAGCCTAAAAAGCGGGTGGGCCCTCTGTGTGTCCTTCTCTTTCCTTTCCGCTCCTTCCTTCCGTCTGTCTTCTTCTCTCCCTCTCTCCCTCCCCACTTCCCTTTCCTCTCTCTCTCCCTCCCTCTCCCTCCCTCTCTCTCTCTCTCTCTCTCTCTCTCTCCCTCTCCCTCTCCCTCTCCCTCTCCCTCTCCCTCTCCCTCTCCCTCTCCCTCTCCCTCTCCCTCTCCCTCTCCCTCTCCCTCTCTCTCTCTCTCTCTCTCTCTCTCTCTCTCTCTCTCTCTCTTTCTCTCTCTCCCTCCTTCTCTCCCTCTCTCCCTCTCCCCCGCCTCAATAAAGCTCTAAAAAGGTAACCATGGCTCGTGACTCTCTTCCAGGACTCTCCTCCGTTGGCATGGCCACCATGGGCGTCGGCCAGCCACGAGCAGCACGCCGTTTAACCAACAATATCCCCCCCATAGGCTCATAGATTTGAATGCTTGGTCACCAGAGAGTGGCACTATTAGGAGGTGTGGCCCTGTTGGAGGAAGCATGTCATTGGAGGTGGGCTTTGAGATTTCAAAATGCTCAGGCCAGGCTCAATGTCTCTCTCTTCCTGCTGCCTGTCTATCTGGATGTAGAACTCTCTGGTAGCTACCTCTCTAGCACCATGTCTGCCTGCATGCCACCATGCATTTCATCTATATTAGATGATAATGGACTAAACCTCTGAAACTATAAGCCAACTAGTGTTTTCCATTTAGCATTTTTCTTTATAAGAGTTGCCATGGTCATGGTGTCTTTTCACACCAGTGGAACGCTGACTAAAACACTTTTATTTTTATTGAGCTTTTGTTTGTATAGATTACTGTTTTAACCAAATTTGGGTTGTTTTAACCCATTATTCTCATATAAATACATATCAATATATTGATATGTATTTATATGTTTCCCCTCCTTCTGAAACACCATTCACATGTACATTAGAAGGTATGACAGTGTTTAATGTTTTGTGACGCTGTTCTTTTTTTTTTTTTCAGTCTTGTTCCTGTGTTCTTCAGATCCATTTCCACAGACCTAACTGCCGAGCTCTCTGTGAGTTTTCTTTCTAATTTCAGTTACTGAACTTGTCACGGTCACTGATGGCAGGATGGTGTGTGTACAGCACAGTGAAAACACATACAGCTCTGGAGATGAGCTTTATAGATTAAGCTTGTGCACTACCATTCACTGGTGTGAGAACCCACACACCTTACCTGACTTCTCTCTGTCTCACATTTCTCATCTAGAAAACGAGACGATTAATAATGTTTGAGATCAGGACGGTTTGAGAGTTAGTTGAGATAATACCCTAACTATTCAATACAAAGTTTGTTGTAATGTAAGGCTTTAGTAACACTTGGCTATATTATAACTGTTGATAGAGGACTCTGGTGATTGTAAGCAAGTATACTCTAGAATGAGTTTTGACTCCAAACTTGAACCCAGGGATGAGAAATGAACCCCATACATAGTTGACCCTTTCAGCATTTCTCTCAAGTTTCAATATGTTTGCTTCATCAGTGTATTTGTGTCTATCGATTGTTTCTCTAAATGATGCTCTGTTACAGCAGTAGTGTCATTAGATAAGAGCCTTGACACGTGATATTTTTATCCTCCTGCTGTAATCTTAATCAAAAATACCACCGCAATTACTCATATGTTAGAGGCTTAGTCCCCAGCCTGTGTGGGGAGGTGGTGGAAACTTTAGGAGGTGGGAGTCTAAGGAGGCCTTCCAGTTACGGGTGATATGTCCTTAGCGGGGACAGTGAGACCTGAGACCCCAGCCTCTTCTGTTCTCTCTCTCTCTCTCTCTCTCTCTCTCTCTCTCTCTCTCTCTCTCTCTCACCTTCTGACCAAGAAATAAGGAATTTGATCTACCATGTGTTCCCACTACCATGTGACACCGTTGGACCAAAGCTGTGGGACCCATCAGACATGAACTGAAGACTGAAACTCCAAGCCAATGGAAAACTTTTCTTCTAATAATGTGGTTTGTGTTAAGTACTTGGTAAAGTGACAGGAAGTTGGCTAATGCAGCTCTTCTCCAGAAGACATGGAGCCTGAGTCTCAACACCTACAGGCACAAGTTGTCATTAAGCCCCAACCCACAGCAACAATTCAACTGCCACACTCTGCCTATTGAACGATAAGCATTTCCTCTGCTCTTAAGCAGTGCTGCTCTGTCTTGAAGCCCACTAGTCTGGACCTTTTATCCATGGCCCTAACCTATTCGAACTCAGGCTTGTATAAGCACCTTGCAATGATAGAATTTTGTCTGAAAGCACTTATTCCATGGGTCAAGACCAATAACAACCCCCCCCCCCCCGTCTCCTCTACCCCTCCACCCCCGGCCACCAGCACCTCTGATTTAGTTCTTCCCAGTCCTGGCTCTCTGCCTATGAGCTAATACCTGTAACATCCCCATCGCTGTGAGCCATCTCTTCATGTGTTAACCAATGTCAAAGTGTCTAGGACTAGAATATATAGTCAAATCAGTATGTATCAGTAGAGGGTTCCAGCAAGCAGTGTTCTGATAATTGCTAGTTAACTGTTAAGACTAAAACAAACCCTGGTGAACCCAGCAGAGAGGAGTTTTCAGTCCCATTTAATCAATCTACAGAAAGTCTAAGCAAAGATGAAGATAAACTGTCCAGTCTCCAAAATGAATGCAACTCAAAAGTTTCCCAGTGACAATAAACTACACTTTTTCCTTTACAAAGCATGATCACAAATGTGTTTGGTTCTATCCTCAAAATGACCAGGTGATCTATTAATAGGCAAGGTGATAATGATGACTCTCATTTCAGAGATGAGGGAGCAAGGCTAAAGGACACCCAGTGCCACTTAGCTATCAAGTAAGGAGCTTTGCTTGCAAACGAGTTTTCTTTACTTTTACTTCACTGAGTTTTTCAGAAAATTCCATGATTAGTCATCCCACAAGAAATTCAATGGCCAAACAACTTAAGAAGTGGTGAAGACTTTTATCATGGTCAAGAGCAGAGAAACCTGGTTCCTTTTGTTTCTTACAGTGTTCCCCACACTTGTCTGATCACCTTTTATCCAATAACTGTTAATGTACCATAGAATTTTGAGTAGCATTGCCATATACCACTCCATTTCCCAAGAAGCCCAGAGAATGCCAACTGAATAAAGATGTTGCTTCTTGGAGGAACCATTTTCTCTTAGGAGTCTCTAGCCTCTCACTAAATATTGCGTCCTGTCTGTAAAGAGAGAGGGTCTCTGGTGAGGATGGCCAGTAGACTATTGGGACAAATAAAAATGCATGGACATACTCACCATAAAATGTGGACCCTTCCTGACACAGTTCTGACTCAGTGTTTTCAAAGCACAGTTTACAGCACATCTACATCCAAACCATCCAGGAGGTGTGGAGAACATAAACATTCCCAGACTAGGGCTAAATCTAAGGTCAGGGACAGAGGATCTGCATTTTAACAAGCTCACTAAGTGATTCTGACACAACTCTCACTTGAGAAGCACAACTTAAGGTAGCCAACAACAGATGTGAGATACTTTTCCAATGAAATCCAAGTCATAAACTGAAATGAAAATGGCCCAAGATGCATCCAACAGGGGACTATTTGGTTCCTTGGTAAATAACCACTTCTCAATGAGACCAGCCTTCCTGGGGAAGGCTATTCCATGGTCTATCAGATCTCTTCATTAGGAAACTTCCCTGCTCTTCCATCTAAGTAGCTTTTCTTAATTTGATCCTATTACTCCCATGCTTTATACAAAGTTGAGTACAGCAGTTAGACTCAATAAGCAAAAATGCTATCTATATAAATGCCACTCAAGGCTCATGTTTCTATCTAATTACCCTCAAATGGCCCCATCTCTCTACAAAGCAAAGTCAAGCCAGGTCTCCAAGGCCAGCTATTTCAAATATCAAATCTTGATTTGGACAAGGACTTCCATCTTCAGAGTCAAGAAAGAATCCACTAGTTCTCTCAAACATATGGCATTCTCACAGCTCTTCGACTACATTCCAAACTTCAGGACTCAGAGGGCTGTTCAAGATGGAGGCACTTAAGGCAATTAGAATGTGACCATAACTAGAATCCAATGCTGTGATTTCCTGGATTGGGGGGAAAGACCATGGACAAGGTCACACCAGTGTTATGACAATCAAATAAAACAAGGCAAGACAATGGGAGAGGTGTGGGGTGCCCGTGAGAGAGTTTCTGATGACTATTAGGAGTTTTAGAAATTGCAAGAAGCTGTCAACTTGGGTGGCCAACATCCTTAATAGGTCATTAAAAACACAAATACAATCTTTTTAAGATTTCCTTCCCAGGAGTGGGTGGGTAGACAAGATGACAACCTCAGATTTCAAAAAGGAATGTTCTTTGAATATTCAGAATGTAGTTAGGGAAGACTGTTTTTTGAGAACAACTCTTTGGAAGAATAAATGATCCATTCAGAGATCACTTGAAGAATTCCAGTTGATTTTCCAAGTTTCCAACTACCTTGGACAGAGTTCAATGGATTGTCATGCTTAAAATAATAAAAATATTTGGCACTTAAGTCACATACATTATGAGTATGCATATGATTATATGCTTGAGTATTTGCATATGCATATCTGGCTGAAATTCTGAAGATCATAACGTTGAAGGAATAATGAATGTGGAATGGTGTGCTGGTTAGGGTTTTTTTGGGGGGTAGTAGTTGGTTTTTCAAGACAGGGTTTCTCTGTGTAACCCCGGCTATCCTCGCTCTGTAGACCAGGCTGGCCTTGAACTCACAGAGATCCACCTATCTGGGATTAAAGGTGAGAACCACCACCGCCTGGCTAGTTTTAATTGTCAATTTGACACAACCTAGAAACGCAAGGGAAGAATTGTAAAGGATTTGCTTAGATCATATAGGTTTATGAGCATGTCTGGGAGAGATTATCTTGATTGTTAATTGATGTAGGAGAACAGGGCCATTGTGGGAGGCACCATTCTCTGGTTTGGGGCCCTGGATCAGATGGATCATATATGAGTAGAACAGGCTAGCTGGGTCTTGAGCAAGCGGGCAGCCTGGGTGCCTTCGTTTTTCTCTGCTCTTGACCGTGGGTGTGATGTGACTAGCTGCTTGAGTTCCCGCCTGGACTTCCATGAAATGATAGCCTGTGACCTGGAACTGTAAGCCAAATAAACCCCTTTCTCTCCGCGTTGCTCTTTGTCAGGAACTTTATCATCCCAGGAACAGAAGCGAAGCTAGGACCCTTGCCAAATCCTTTCCCCTATGACTACACTGACCATCAATAGCAACCCTGTCCATCAGAACCTAAGTCAGCTTTGGAATCAGTCTGAATGAGTTCAGGCACCTGTCATTTAGAGGGAACCCTTGCATTGATCTACTTAGCTCCTGAGAGATAAAGATGTAAACTTCCACCTTTGTGTCTGGAGCAGGGTTCAGTCACAGAGAAGCCATGGCTGGGAGAGCCTGGGCATGTCAGCTCTGAAGTCAGTTCCCAGATCCACTGCATGTTTCTGACCCCTCTAAGCCTTGGCTCCGTCAAATAGTAATAATGATGCATTCACTATAGAAGTCCAATGAGTGTTAAAACAAGACTCAGGTAAAACATTAAACACAAGGTCAGCCATGAGGGAAGTGTTTCACAAGGGGTGGTAAGAACAACCGTTCCCATTGTTGAAAACTAAATCAAGAGACTCTTTCCCTTCATTACATCTCCAGGTTTTTCCTGACATTGTGTAAAAAAAAAATGTGTGAGGAATCAGTCTGCAAAATAAGCGGGTTCCCAGGAATTACAGGTTAAATACTGCTTCTTATTCCGGAGGCTTCAGTCTTCAGAAGCAAAAGAAAAGGCGAATTGCATGCTATTTTGGGAGAACAAAACAGTAACAGAATAAGACAGCAAGAACTGTCAGATGCAAGTGAGCCGAAGTAAAAGTTGACAGTCCCCAAAGTAGGAGTAAGGGTCTTAATGACCTAACACTAATGAGGCCCTGCAGAGAATTGCTGGTGCCATATAAAGTGAGTCTGTGTGGATGGGACGCTGCCATGAAGCACCCAATGGGGACAAAGTTGAGTGATGCTGAGTCACACAATGTCAGCAGCATTAACGTGTCTTTTATTGGCATCTGATTCCAGGGTGTCAGCCCCAGCATCAGCGGCGGATGCCTTTCTTGTCAACTCATTCTAGGACGCCTGTGGTGGAGCTCTGTCCTCGGGCTTATTGTGGCCATTACCATCTTAGTCAGAGCAGTTTAACGACCCACAGGAGACAGTCACAGACGGGACCTGTTGGTAGTCCCTCAGAAAGAAGATGGGGGGATCATCTGATTCTCACCTGAGATTCCAGCCACGCCCCCCCCCACCACCACCCAGCCTGCCTTCTACTCTATGTATTTCCATCCCATTGGCATTAGGAGGCACCAGGAATTATGGGAGGAGAAATATTAGCTTAAGGGGGTATTCTACCTATGAAGTTTTGGGGACCCACCACCCTTGGCTGAGGTAGGATGTTTAAGCTATAGCTATTTGGGCAGTCAACCACGCTCCTGTAAGTAAACCCAATAAACACAAGTGACATTTGGGAATCCTTTCTTGGATCTGACCTGGAGTGAATAGATGTTTGTTCACATCGCTTCCAAAAAGCTAATGCGACAAGTCCCCATCTGTGAGAACTCTCCCAAATCTTAGTTCCCTGTTAGGACCCATCACACCTCCTAGCCATCTCTAGATGGTTAGCTTCAAATGCATAGTTCCTTACTTGGATGCTCATGAGCTCCCTAATACTTAATTGAGTTGCCTGTAGCAGGAGAGAAAATTCTGTGCCGGGAGCGGACGGGGGTGTGGTTTTGTAAGGGCTCTCCTTTCCTACCCATGGTTCACTGTCTCCAATAAGTTAGAGATCTAATGAGGTGATAGAACAGCACACGGAAGGGAATGCAGAGGGAATGCCTAGAGTCCAGCCGGAAAGACGGCCCCTGGCTTGGCTGCAAAGGGGTTCTAAAACAGGGGTCCGGGTGAAGAGGGAAAGGCACACACATCCCAAGAGGAATGCATCTTGAACATTTCCCACAGATGTTGGCTCAGCTGGGACTTCCTGACAGATGCTGGTTGAATGCACACAGGAGTTAATGAAACTGAGTCTATTTAACCCCCATCCAGGCAAATAGGAAGGTCAGGCGCCGCTCAAGGTTATGGAGGACTTCTGGGGAGAGGTGCTTGGCAGAATGTGGTCACCCTGCAGGATTCGAAGCTGCACACTAAATAAGGACAGCCAAAGACAAACACCAGGAGGAGAGTGGCCAGCAGCCTGCTGTTTTTCTGGAACTGGGGGAAGGGAGCACACCCCCCACCCCTTACTCAGTAGGTTTCCGGTTGCCTAAACCCCAACCAGACCCTTGTTCTCTTTCCTGGGCCAATAATGAATGGCAGTAATTACCCATGTGGGCTCTGTGTGAGTCACGAGGCAGTTCTGGCTCCCTCTCCTTGCAATTTTGAGCCGTGTGTGTGTGTGTGTGTGTGTGTGTGTGTGTGTGTGTGTGTGTGTGTTATCCACAGCTATTGAAGTGTGGAAAATGGATCACAATTACATTCTGGCTGTCTTTTGAAGACTTGATAGACAGCTGGGGGAAAAAAATCTGCCTGCAGCTGCCAGGATGAGAGGGTAGCCAAGGGGTGGGCATGGAGAGAGGAAAGAAAAGAGGTCCTGGGGGGAAATCATCAAAATGGCTTCAGTGTCATCCCCAAGGAATACTTTTAAAAGACCAGAGCTGCTGACATTAAAACGGAATCTGGGGTCCAGGCAGCTCCGTATAGGAGCTTTTTTTATGGACATTCGGGGTGCAAAGACATGGTCTGTGGCTCCCACAGCAGACAGCTCATACTTGGAGAGAGGCTGGCCCCGAGAACAGGTGCAGCTGCAGCTTCCAGTCAAAGGACTCAGCTGCAGTTTCTTCCTCTCTCATACGCAATCATGTTTCCAGGCTAAAACTAGCACATTTCTCAATGCATTTAGGGGAGAGGATCTTGAGATCCTCCCACCCCCTTCCTGACTGATGACGGAAGTCCTCTTGTGTACTTACTGAGCACTATGTGAGCACTCCTAGGTCATACACAGGATCAAGACATCCCATGTCATCCATTCACATGTATGGGGAGTCCAGACCTTTATTTTAGAGGAAGCCAGACAATTCTAAACTAAATACAGTGTGCTGTGATGTCTTATCCGCTCATTCCTGTTTGAAATGGCTCATCAAAGCAAGAAGAAGAAAGCAAAATAGGAACCAAAGATGCTGAAGTTCATTAAGAGATTCAATTTTAATTTATAAAATATTCTGGAATATCTTGCTTCCTATCACCAGAAGCCTCTACAAATTTGAAAAGCAGGAATACCAATTACTAGCCATAGGGGAGGGGAAGTAGTCACATGTTTATTACTCTTATCTAATACAGATACCTGCTTGTGTGCTGAAACACACAACATTTGCAGGTATGTAAGAGGAAAATCCTCACACTACATAAATCACTCAAGATGTGTGGGTACAACCAGAACTCAAACAAGGTCAGAATACCCCCCAAACTGCAGATAGGTGTGGTCTCCCTAGCAAACAGGGGACAATCGTGTAAACAGACCTCAAGTCTCTCAGGAAATGGGCTAACACGGGCTTCTGCCTACTGGCAGAAACAGTCAGATAAGTCCCTCTTATCCTTGGCTCATTGAGAAATTAACATTTCTACTTTCTCAAACAGTTCCAATCAAGGTTTGCTGAAGTGGCACTTGCCTGTCGATTTAGAGCAAGTTTATAGCTTAAATCACAATTTCAATACTTTCTTACTAATCACTAATCAGCAATACCTCCTTCATCAATGGGGTTGAGACCTTTTCCTAGGCTTAAGACAGTGTTTACTCACATTTGGCCAGGGATTTGTTTGCTCAGTAATATGTTAAACATATAGAGTAAGACCTGACTGAAAGCCGGGGCCTGTACTAAATACCTGGAGTCCCACCTTTGTACTCTGAGTGCTCGCCAACAAAGAAACAAACCATCTAGGGGGTCCCACCTGGGCAAGACCAAGAAGGACATCCATCACATATTATCTTCCTACCACTGTTCCGTGGTACCTGTGTTAGAATTCTTACTGCTGTGTGAGAAACACTCACCAGAAACAAGTTCAAGGAAGGAAGGTTTATTTCAGTCCACGACGTCAAAGAATTCCATCCACAGTCGCTCGAGTCCATGCGTGTGGCAGAAGATGGTAGCAAGAGCATAAAGAACAGGCTGGTCACTTCATGGTAGAGAAGAAGCAGAGTTCACACTGCCTCCTGTGACATACATCCTCCAGCAGCACCCCACCTCCCAAGGCACCACAGCTCAGGATCAAACATTTAAGACATGAGTACAGGATCAGGGGGTATTTAATAAGCAAAGCATGAGGCTGTATCAGAGCAGCTTGAGGGATTCGTGGGAAACACAGCAAACCTGAACACTGCAGTCGCTTTAAACCTTTGTGACTAGGATAAAACAAAGAAATGTGTATCTTAGGACACTTGGTTGGGGCACAGAGAAGAAT